AAAAATGAACAAACACTGTTCGTCTGGGTTTTTTTAAGCAATGAAGTGGAATTAGGGATTTTTTTCTTTTGTCTTATGTTTTGGGGAATCTGGTGTAATATTCGTGTAAGCATAGATTTTCAAGTTTGTCAAATTTAATTTTATGTCTAACAAATACAAATGCAAAAATGTTTCTATAAGATAAGATATCTAGACGTTTTTGCGTATGCAGAATGTTTTCAAGAAGGTTTTCAATCGTTAATTTTTTTTATCCGAAAAGTTTATAATTTGCTGATTAGCCTTAAAACTAGTTTAGTGTTCTTCATGCTACCGCCATACAAGTCATTATTTAGAACTACTTTTTGCATGTTTATTAATAGGGCAGATCAGTTGTTAAATTTGTACAAGAACTTGCATAAAATATATGCTACATATATTTATAGTCAAAAATCTCAGAGACAGAAGAAATGAATACAATATTTACCAATGCGTTAAGAGAAACAACTCATCATCGTCGTCGTCGCCGCCATTGTCATCATCATTAATATAATATTTACAGTTATATTAATAGATAAGAATAAAAGATTCCAAATAAAAACAGTTAGCCGTATTATTTCTTACTCTGTGAATTCTAGGTCTCTCCGATGGACGTATTTATTTTCCGCTGCCGTGAAATGCCCAGAGTGGGTAATAATCGTGCCGAGATCACACAACAAGCCGTCTACGGACCATCGTTGCCCTTGGCAAAAATATGCCATGCCTTACTTTAAATTTTGTATCGCTAGGAACCTTGCAAGGCTTCTTAGTAAAGAACTGATCAAAGCATTTAATTTTCTGTTCTTTCCTTTTCTCAATCGAGTTCAAAGTTATCAACACTGATTCTGCAATAACATCCCCACCCCATTACTTCTCCTCCTCCTCATTTTGTTTTGCTTCTTACGTTTTTGTAAAATGCCTTGCTTTTATTTTATTCAAGTCCAAACACGAGAAAATACAAACGATTGCAAACAAAACGTTTTAAACATACGCACAAGTTTTGAAATCTCTATACGTCTGTATGCATGATTTTAGGCTAAAGAATAAAAAATAATCACCAATAACATCACACCTTTACTTTTTTGGTATATATATCTAAAATGAAGAAAGAAAAAAAATCCTCATATTCCACTTATTTGTATGTTTGTAAAAGTTGAAACGATCAAACTGAATTATATAAATGTTATAATACGAATATTTGTCTCCAGGCAGCAGACAGAAATTATATAATTTTCAGCCTATTTCAACAATTTCAAAAAGAATGAAAATTGAAAGTAGATTTGTCTCTTTTTTATGATAACATAATAATAATAATAATAATAATAATAATAATAATAATAATAATAATAATAATAATAATAATAATAATAATAATAATAATAATAATAATAATAATAATAATAATAATAATAATCCAGGGTAATATAGTCCATGTGAATATATTTCCTTACATTACAGTAATACGATACGATACGTAAGCGATATGATGCAGAAGAACAACTGTATTGTACACTTCTTTATATCAATTGATTCGACATAATATTTCTAACTGTTTTCATCACTCGTATTTTCAAAGATACGTTTACAAACATTTTTTACAAGGTGGTTAAACCATGAAAAAGTATTATCGATAAGAAAATCTGGGAGTTGGTCATATTTAACAGTTTTAAATTTTGAGCTATTTTTTTATAAGTACAATTCTTCACAGCTTTCTGCTCTTCGTGCCGGGCATATAAGCATTTCCTGTCTTGTCTGTGCATTTAAGCTAGTTTTTGTGTCATACATCATTTTAGCAAATTCTAAATCTTTATTTGGTTTGCTTTTAACGATGCTAACACATATATCACTAATATATTTGCATGCATCATATGCATGCAAATACACCAAAGGATGTTCTTTTCCAGTATTATGTAAAATCCTTTATGTAAACCAAAAACAAAAGAGGACCTAAAATTTATCCCATTTTGCACAACCTCCTTAAAAGTCCGTGACAGTTCCTCTCTATCTCACATCTTTTAATCTATTACTAACATGGATAAAAAACAACGTGGCTTTTGTATCATTGGATTCTAGTCTTTTATATAGAAAAGTAAGTTTGCGTACTTTGTATTTTCGTGAAAGAAAATAGCTTTTGGTGTCTTCTAATTACTTATTTGTTTCATGGTCTTTACTTTTTCGTTTCCTATTGCTCTTAGGTTTTTCATTTGCTGCTCTCTTTCCTACCGTTTTTTTTTAAGTATTCAAGAACCTTGGATTCTTTGTTTAAGGCATACGCAACCAAAATAAATGTTTCGGTGTCAGCTGTTTAAAACGGATGTCGCCTAAAAGACAAAAAACTGTCAAAAATGAGTATGTATGATCTTGAAAGATTTAAATAATGTAAGAAGTGTACTAAAATATGAAACTTTACTTAGTCTAAGAATAAAACTGCAGGTCATCAGTATTATTTAATCAATGATCAATCAAACCAGAATAATGTGGGCGGAAGAAACTGAGAACGTGTTTGTCGAGAACTTAACTAACAAGTCAGACAGATATAACAACTGACACTCGATTCGTCTACTGTCGTAAAATGGGAGTGACTCTAACTTTGTTGATAAGCGCCCAAAAATATTTTCTCCAAAAGGCATATATATATATATATATATATATATATATATATATATATATATATACATATATATATATATATATATATATATATATATATATATATATATATATATATATATATATATATATATATATATATATATATATATATACATATATATATATATACATATATATATCCATATATATATATATATCCATATATATATATATACACACCCATATATATATATATATATATATATATATATATATATATATATATATATATATATATATATATATATATATATATATATATATATATATGTGTGTGTGTGTGTGTGCGTGTGTGTGTGTGTGTGTGTGTGTGTGTGAGATATAGGATAGGATAGGATAGGATAGGATAGGATAGGATAGGATATGATATGATATGATATGATATGATATGATATGATATGATATGATATGATATGATATGATATGATATGATATGATATGATATGATATAATATGATATAATATAATATAATATAATATAATATAATATAATATAATATAATATAATATAATATAATATAATATAATATAATATAATATCATATCATATCATATCATATCATATCATATCATATCATATCATATCATATCATATCATATCATATCATATCATATCATATCATATCATATCATATAATATAATATAATATAATATAATATAATATAATATAATATAATATAATATAATATAATATAATATAATATAATATAATATAATATAATATAATATAATATAATATAACCGTTATCGCTTGATCAATTAAATTGTTTGACCTAACACACAATGCAGGCAGGATTTGCAGGCCTTTTTAAACTATTATTTTTTTTGCATCTCCTTTATTTGATACACGTGATAATCCAAAGTCGGTCCGTTTTTAATTCATTGAAACTATACGGCAAATACTTCAGCAAGTTGGATATCAAAACACGGTTGACACTTCAATAGGTTCTCCCAGAGACGTTTAAGGACATAGCTGTTACGGTAGATTGACATTTTTCACGATTCAATACAAGATGGCAGATTACATTTATCATGCTTTCAATAGAATTATAAACGAGTATATGCGGTATTTATGTCTTCAGCTGTATTGTCTTTAATAGACGCCTAACTTGAAATCGTATTATGCCGTGTCAAAAGCCATGTACAAAAAAAAAACCGTGTCCAAAGCCGTGTCGAAGCTTGATACCTTATTTTCAGGAGAGCAACATCAGTTCGTCCATTTTTCTCAAATCGTGAACAAATTATTTTTTAATTGTCTGTTGGAAACACATTGCACTTACAAACATTCACATGATGAAAATATCACTATTGGTGTCTTGTTTTATCAATGAACGTATTGCACTTCCAATACTGATATTCCTGTTACTGTTGAAATTCATTTTGGTTGATTCACTTCGTCATCATAATATGTAATACCAAAAATAAAATGTTTTAATGTACTCATTTACCTTCTTTGGTTATTTATTTCTCTATAAAACTCTATATTATAGATTAAAAGAAATAAGCACTAGTATCAAAAGAAACACACGGTGACCAATAAAATGCTCTCCCTGACAGATTATGGGCCAATTCAAAGGAAAAGCACAAGACGTATAAATTGTCTTAAAACCAATTTAATTTTCCTCAGAGATACATTTGGACGATGAATCAAGTCCACCGCTCAAATCTCGGTATAAATGATTAGCGGGTTTAATCTACCCGGCTTTGTCTTGGTGAAGCGTGCACAGCTTACCTTGGACTTGACAGAATGCGAGGCTCCGTTGCATGAAAACAAAAATATGGGCAAATAGAGAGTTTGATCAAAGCTCGGCGTGTGAAACTCAGTGTAGAAGAGAAATTAAATTTAATATAATAGTCAATAACTAGGGAGACAGTGGAGGTATGGCCCTCTCCAACGTGTTTATTATAATGATATATTTGTATAAAGGTGGTACGAATCTAGTATTATTAATCATAAACGATTGACAAACCCTTGACAGCTGAGTTAGTACTAATATCTGCTGTAAGAATGACTACGCATATTTTATCCAAAGCTGTGTTTGCAGTGGCAGGTATTAGTCATAATTTCAGAAAAATGAACTGTGGGATCGTAGAAAGGTCAAAGGTAAATACCAACTTTAATCCCATGAAGCATGTGAATGGAAAAAGAAAGACTCGATGCATGGGAATATAAACATGGGCGATCATCCTCAGCAAAGAATATATATTCATTTAATGCTCCATAAAACAGACAATAAGCAGTATTTAAAGTCCAAATGCCCGTTTGCAATCTTATGGCTTATGCAGTACATAATAATTCTGAGGAATAAATTTTATTCCTTACATCTTTGTAGACCGTTACGGTGGTCTAGTGGTTAGAGCGTCTGCCTCAGATGCGGGAGGTCGTGGATTCGAGCCCCGGCTGAGTCTTTCCAAAGTCTTGCAAAAATGGTACTAACAGCTGCCTCGCTTGGCGCTCAGCATTACGAGGTTAGTGTTAGGACTGGTCGGCCTGGTGTCATGATAATGTGATTGGGTGGGACATCATGCAACATATCTTCGGCATGATGTCCCAGAGCTAGACATCACTATAAACTGCCACACTGCAGACATCGTAGCAATATGACTGAAAAATTATTACAAAATATAAATCACATATCAAACATCCTTGTAAATATCTGTTCCTGAACAAAATTAGTTTCTGGCACCCAGAAAATTTGACAACATACAAAACATATTTTAATTAGAGTTTAAAATTAATTATAAATGGGAAGAACCTGCCTTATCTATGTTTTAATTGGAATATAATATATTAAAATCTTATAGAGATTTATGTCTGGAAGAAATTCAGTCTGGATTACATTAATTATTCACATCAATATATAAAACCTGAAAGTGGATAGGTAATGGAATATACCTTATCCATTTTTATTTATACAAAGTTTAGGGAAACAGAGATGTGTAGCAGTTCAAACTATTTAATGTACAATTGTTGATATTTTTGTTCAAAAATATTCACCCTGACCCGGTTTCTAAGTTTCGTATTTGAACGCGAACATAAACAAGTATTATTTGATCAATTTTGATCACATCGCAAAGTCAAGTAAACATGAAGTTTCTTCTCTGCCATATATGTGTTGAAAGTAAACACTTAGAGTGTGATTATGGTATTTACCCTGTAAACCCTTTGCATGAATGTACGGAATAGAAACCGACTGGAATTACTCTAATTCCGATTCTATGGTAGCGATACCCAGAGCGATAGAACTTCCTCAAGGATCAGATTCACCACAAATACCAATGGAGCGAGAGAGGTATAGTTCCAAGTGTAATCCGCATCCATGTTGATATTTTTTGTATGCTTATTAAATAATACACCGTATTTGCCACTAGTTAATAAGCAGATTATATTTAATAAATGTTGTTATAATGCTTTATGCTGTAAAAAAGTGGTATTACCTACTAAAATGAAAATAATTAAATGTAAATATTAACCATGATACGTAGAGAAAAAAGATGATAAACAAAATGTTAGTCTTTTACCTTACTATTATCTTAGAGATTCTTAAATTTTAATAGTTATTTGTATACGTTTGTATGGCACGAGTCAAAGGACAAGATCAAAACAAATATTTCTGTGAAGGGTTACCATGAGAGGAGATTAAATATGATTGCGATATTTAAGTTTGTGATTGCGTTGAGAATTACATGGCTTAGAAGAAAAGTATCATATAAATCGAAATGGAAAATTTTGTAACAATGTCCGGTATCAAAGACTGGTATGTTAATCTGGAACATAATTTCTTCATTTCGTAAAAATAGGATCTTGGTTAGACATCTTTAATGCACATTAAGAACTAACTAAATCATTGAAAATAGTCGCAGCAGAACATGTCTTTAGAAATCCAAATATCATTTTATCTTTGTGTGGTTGCAGAAAGGCGTTAGATTTGTAAATGATTTTATTATCATGGATGCTTTTGGATAAATTTTTATTTTCACTAATTTAGTAGATTTTCAAGTTTAACTCTAAACTATAAAGTCATTAAAATTAATTTAGCGTCAGATGCGTCTCCCAATCAGCCTCTTGTTAATATTGCTAGGTATACCATTAAAAGAAATAAAAAGGTGTAGTGGTATATATGTAAATTTTACAGGACAACGAAGTACTCACCTTTAGCTGAAAAATAAATTTTGAATTTGGTAATTTAGAAGATGACGATTGAGAGAAATTAGAATTATCTCAAACGATATCTAATTTTTTATATGTTTTACAAAGACATTTTCAAATAAAGATTTTTATAAAATTATTTAATTTAGAATTCACAAGCATACATGTTATCTATGGAATTAAAGGCAAAATTTAGGCTGACCGGTCATTAATTTGATAATTCTATTTGTAAAACAATATATTTATAAATGCGGATTTAACAAAGACAGCCCAAGTTGTCTTTTGGATGAAATATTGTAAGAATAAGCAAGAATTACACGTAAGTATCACCTATATTTATGTCAATATTTTTGTTTTCAAATAAGTTCTGATGATGGTTCATATATGACACAGATGATTGCTAAAGCTTTAAGGGGAAGTAACTTTAAAGAATGTTGATGGCATTTAAAGTTGCATTTACAGCATTCGCAACTTCTAGATCAATCCAGCTGATCAGACATCGGCACATTTTTGTCTAGTAGAAATTGTTTAGGTGATCTTAATATATACCAAAAGTATATGGATAGTCAGAACACGGTCTGGTGTCAGTGATCAGAAAAAATATCAATGCCACTGTACGTGTACCTTGCTGACCAAGTAATGTCAGGTGTAATGTTTGGAACAGTCACAGTCACGTCTCGTTCTGATGCGAGTCGAATAACTTCAACTATTTGAAAGTGTCTTGAAGGTAATCGTAAGGATACTTCCCACGTTAGTTTTTTTTTTGGGGGGGGGCGCGCAAACATTCGCATAGACTTGCAAAGAATAAGCCTTGAAAATGACACTAACCGACGTTTCAACAATCAATGAAATACATGTACACTTAATTTTAACAGTATTCCTGCGACTGTGCTACAAAAGAAACGGACACAATTATTTGGTTTCAATTGTTCACAGCTATTGTTCGTGTTGTTATTAGTGACCACATCCAGTTGTTGGGATGTTGTGTTGTTATTACGACGTAATAACAACCACAGACTTGAGAACAATTGAAAGTGGCCATTATTTAAATCTTAGGTTTTATCTAGTATGCGATGAAAAAAAAAAACGACGTTGCAATTGACATAATAAAAACATTTGGTGACAACTGCCAGACACTTACGGTACTCATGAGACTGCATTTAAATATTATTATCAAAGAGTATGAAAGTAGGAATGTTTAATTTTTTTCCCATGATGCATCATCCTTCTGTCAAACCAATTACTGCAGTTTAAGAGAAATCTCAAAACTAGCCATTATGGGAATGACGTGGCTGATGTGGAACTGGCATAAACGACTAGCGAATCGAGAGACACCGATGGTATTCGTTACATATCTGTCACATTTGCTTGATAATTTATTCCAAGCACCAGCTAACATTTACTGGGCGACTTGACGTAAACTATTTATTCTTCAAGCATGAAATCACTTGAAAACTTTTGTTTACTGAACTTACACAAATAATTCAATGAATTTGTTAAAATTAGTTTGCTATAGTTTTTATTCTGCTTGCGTAATTGTGCGAGTGACCTAGTTCTTTACCACTGTCCGGATATTTACCAATTTGTATTACTATAATTTTGAAGAGAGGCGACAATTTGTTCCGACCGATTCATTTACTAAATTATAACGTTAATTACGATTGCACATGATATTTTTTAATGCCTTTTAATAAAAATTCAAGAAATAATGATACGTTCTCATTATATTGGTATGCCCATAACAAAATTTCAACACATATTGATAAAATGCGTTCTTTTTAATATTTTAGACGAATTAGCTTTGATAATTATATCCTTAAAAAACCTCGCTGGAAGTCTTGAAACAAATGGGAACTAAGAAATATTTTAAACGAAAAAGTCATCAAAATTTTGTCACTCACCTTGGTCTAATTTTCTGCCAAGATGTAAACTATTATCGTATTTATAAATGGATCCTGGTCTATTCATAATCAAACTCTTATAATTCAATCTCTTTAATATGAAGGGAATACAAAGGCAGTAGCCAAATGATGAGTTGATCACTTATAACCAATGAATCGACTGAAGAGCATCCATAACGATGATGTGAAAGCGCTAGAAATAATAAAACATGGATATTTTACTGTTTCCTGATCTTCTGCCACAGTAAAAGTATTTTATGCATTATCCGTCACGTGGACAGATCTCTCTCTCTCTCTCTCTCTCTCTCTCTCTCTCTCTCTCTCTCTCTCTCTCTCTCTCTCTCTCTCTCTCTCTCTCTCTCTCTCTCTCTCTCTCTCTCTCTCTCTCTGTATGTATGTATGTATGTATGTATGTATGTATGTATGTATGTATGTATGTATGTATGTATGTATGTATGTATGTATGTATGTATGTATGTATGTATGTATGTATGTATGTATGTATGTATGTATGTATGTATGTATGTATGTATGTATGTATGCATGTATGCATGCATGCATGCATGCATGCATGTATGTATGTATGTATGTACATCTATATATATATATATATATATATATATATATATATATATATATATATATATATATATATATATATATATATATATATATAATGTTTTTGACTTTTATTTATTATTATTTATTTCATTAAATGCTACTGTAATGTAACACTGTAACATTGTATATATAACATGACCTTGTCCAAAACTGAGTTCATTTCTGCTTGACCCGAATTTACTTTTTTTATTTTATTGTGATAAATTATTCTCTAGGTTAATGGGTTTAAAATCAGAATTATTATTAATAGAAGTAAATATGTTTATTTGGGTTTACGACTTGATTTTGTGTATTTTACAATCCATGTATGATTTTTATTGTGCAAACACCAGGATCACTCTAGAAAATTATGTTCCATTAGGTAATGGCTTTTAATACAGAAAATGCGAGTTGTCAACTGAGATCAAGTAAAGAACTATATAATCTTCTAACTGAGAGTCGTACTTTGAGGTCTAGCACTTTGAAGTTGTATTATATGTTATGTCCATGATTAAGAGTGCTATCTCTATCTATACACTCCTTTAACATGTAATTTAAGTAATTGACTTTCTTTATAACTTTTTAAGTCAGGATTCTATCACAAGGCTGAATAATCCTTTATTTTGTATTTCTGCCATACCTTATTTTCATTGTTGTCTTGGTCTTAAGTAAATGGCTGACAAAATATACCATTATTCTGCTAAATAATTAGTCAAATGCAGGAATAGGAAGCAGATATGCCTTAGGTATTATCTGAT